CATCAAATACGAAGATTCCGCAGATTGTCGAGGGTTCAGCCTCCTGATGAAATACGGAGATTCCGCAGATTGTCGAGGGTTCAGCCTCCTGATGAGCCAGTGCAACTCTGACGACGCAATCTTGTCATCATAGGTTTTTTATTTTTTTTATTTTTTTCAGTCTTCGCTGTTTTTGGGGACTTGTATATTTTTCACTTTGCCTGCTTTCTGTGTTTGAGTGATGTCTGCCCCCCCTGCCTCCCCCATGCCCTCCACCCATTGTCTTTTGCTGCTGCCTGTTGTGTTATGCTTGGGGTATCTTTCTGTACCCGCAACTTTCTTTTGTCTTTCCTTGTTTTCTGGATATGTCTGTGGTCTGCCCTCCCACCTCCCCCGTGCCCCCCGGCTCCTTGTGCCTTTCTGCAGTTTGTTGCCGTTGCCTCCTTGCCTTTTGCCTAATTGTGCTTCCTTTCCCCGTCCTGTGGTGTCTGTTTGATCGTGTGTGTTCCAGTTCGCCCGCATTGAGCAGTAGGATCATGAGTGCTCGTGTAGTCCGGCATAGTCATTCCCCACCTCCGAGTACTGGATGCGTCTGCACCACGCCTACAAGTTTTCATTCTTAAGGTGCACCGATATATTATTTCGGAGCTCGATTATGATGCGGTTTCCGTATCATACCGTAAACATGTCATATTACGCGGGTTACACACACACACACACAATCAGTTCTAGGTATGTTTGTTTTCCCTCTTTCCCATTTTTTCTAACTACTTGTGTCTCTAGCCGAGCACCCTCTAGCAGTGCCAAACAGTCTGTGGTTCCTCGTTTGGAGTGCCAACTGCACTCTTAGGGGGGGCGCCCGGTTTGGGATGTCTGTGTTGCCTGTCGGTGATGACGGATGGTCGTCGGAGTGTCTCCCTGGCTCAGCGGTGGTGGGAACCAACAGTCTGCGGGGTTCAGTAGGTCATGTGCTGCTTTGCTCCATGTTGGATGTGTAGACTATCTTGTCTGCGCTCTGCCGCTGCCTTGCTGCCCGTGTCGCTTGCTTCGCAGGTCGTCCTCGCTGCTCTGCTGCCTTGCCACCTATCCACTGGCCGTGCCTCCCGTGTTTTTGCTTGCGTGCCTTGTGGTCTGGTGGCCTTGTGGTGGTGCCTTGCGCTTCACTGCACGGTGCTGAGCTGCTTGTCCTTGTGCCCTGTCTGCCTTTAGTGTCCTCTGCTTGCATGCCTTGTGGTTTGGTTGCCTTGTTGGTGATGCCTTGTGCTTCACTGCACGGTTGCCGAGTTGCTCGTCTGCTTGCCCTGTTGGCCTTCTGCGTCGTTTACTTGCTTGTGTGCCTTGTAGTCTGGTCGCCTTGCTGATGTTGCCTTGTGCTTCACCGCACGGTTGCCGAGCTGCTCGTCCGCTTGCCATGTCGTTCCTTGCAGTCGTTTTTGGCGTGGTGCAGCCGTGTTGCCTCTACTGTGTTGCCTGGTGCTTCACAGGGGTGCTGATCGCTGCTATGTTCCTCTTGGGGACAGTCTGCCTTCAACAAGGGTCAAAGGGTTCATGACCCAAACCATCAAATACCAGCAGATTGTCGAGGGTTCAGCCTCCTGATGAGTTGGTGCAACTCCGACGAAACAATCTTGTTATAATCAGTTTTTATTTTTTTCGGTCTTCTCGTTTTTTTTGGGACTTGTATCTTTTCCTGTTTGCCTGTTTCGTGTGCTTACATGTTGTCTGCCCTCCCGCCTGCTTGGTGTGCTTGTGTGTCGTCTGCCCTTCCACCTCCCCTGTGGCCTCCAGCCTTTGTCCTTCACTGTTGCTTGTCATCCCATGCCTTGTCACTCTATGCCTTTTCATTGCCTGCTTGATGTCGTTAGTGTGCCCTCCCGCCTCCCCCGTGCCAGCCATCCTATGTGAGACTTAGAAAACTGGTTGTGGTTAGCCACGGATGTACGAGGTAGCTTCAGAGATGTAAAGTGGCAGCAGTGGTTTGCCTGTTTGGTTCGTTTGTGTGTGGCCTGTAATTTTGGGCTGGCAAGGTAGCATGGATGGGTGGCAGTTAAAACGGCATGTGATGGGCTATGGGTGGACCTGGTGTACCACTCAGAGAGTGGAGTAACATGGCGGATGCGCCGTGAGATCATTTCCGAACAAACAGACAAACAAACAAACACAGAGCCCACCACTCACATACACATTGGCCTATGCATGCCCATATGTACCCCCCATCAATCAATCAGGAGTTCGCAGAGTCATGGGAAGACCCGTCATCGTACTATGTCCTCTAGGGCCCTTGATGGGGTACGTGTCTCCCCCCCCCCCCCCCCCCCCCAACCAATGGCAAGGGAAGACAAAAGTCTCCACAATTTGTCAGCAGCCCGGCAGCAAGCCTGCTTAGTACGTTGCCAACAGTGACTCAGGATTGAACAGGGTGCTCGACGTGGTGTGTTCAGAGCTCGAAGGTACCAGTGTACTGCAATTGCTCCCTCCACCACTCGGCGGTTCTCGCTTTGATGCCATTTCCAATTCTGCAAGAATCGGTGCGTTCAGAGCTCGAGGGTACCAGTGTACTGCAATTGCTCCCTCCACCACTCGGCGGTTCTCGCTTTGATGCCATTTCCAATTCTGCAAGAATCGGTGTGTCATCTCTCACTCTGTCCCACAGCCTCCCTACTTTCTTAGCCCTTGTCATGTCCTCCTGCATGCTGCAAACATGTTCAAGATGTCTCTCCCCATACCTCAGTTGATGTTTTACAGGATCCCTATATTGTTTATGTTGTTGTTGCGTCCCAATCTCAGCCACCCCCGAGGATTTCAGGTCCACCCCTGTCAGCAGCTAGCATCCCCTCATGCACCTCCTGACGCACAGGCCTCCCTCCCTCCCTCTCTCTCTCTCTCTCTCTCTCTCTCTCTCTCTCTCTCTCTCTCTCTCTCTCTCTCTCTCTCTC